ACAGGGGCCCTTTTCGCGGCTGCGGCAACAATTTGGCACCATTGCAAGGCTGTGCCCACGACTCCCGGCACTGTAGCACCAGGAGGTGCCCTGCGCCCCTTGGATAGCACTTCCCCTACCCACACTGGGGAAAAATTCGACAGCCCCCGTGCTCGCCTTGGCCTTGGGTTTCATGGCGTGGCCCAGCTCCGAGCCGCCCTCCTCGCTCCGTGACCCCCAGCGTTTCTTTCCGCAACAGGCGGTCTGGGGGGCGTGCCGGTGCTGCTGGGTCACTTGTGCAGCTATTTAGTAAAGAGAGGAGCAGGCAACCTGGAAGCCTCTATTCTCTGCCCCCCAAACCTCAGCACCGGACAGCAAGGGAACCCGCTTCCCCGGGGGTTATCCCTGGCACTAGTGATGTGTAGAGCAACACCAGCACTGCCTGAAGCTGCACCGTAGGCTCCTGAACAAGCCCAAAGCCCATGAAGGTTTGGTCGCTGTGCCCCCTTTTCCAGCCCACGTGCCGCCTTCCCTCCCCGGTAGGCTTCTCACGCCAGCGGGCAGCGGGCCCACGAGAATTCCCCCTCGTGCACGTGCGCAGGGTGGGGCACGGAACTAGCCACGGAAGTGGGTTGGGTTGGGTCGTGCGCGGCCGTTCCTGCCACGGGGATAACGGGGCCGTCTCCTCCCTTGGCAGTGGGGGCCGGCAGCAGCCTGGGAGGGGGAAGAGGGCGGCAGGCTCAGGCTCGGTGTCGGTGCTGGAAGCGGCATGGGAGGATGCAGCCCGGGAGCCACAGGGGGGCAGCCCAGTGTGAAAATCCTAGCGACGCCGTCTTCGTGCAACAGAATCGCCACGTGCTGGCGCCTAGGGGTGGCCCTCGCTCTCACTTGTGCACCAGGCTGCTTCTTTTGTTGTGGCCCGATGGGGAGAGCACTGGGATGGGCCTCAGAAGACCCAGGTTCTAATCCCTGCTCTTGAAGTGCCTCCTGGGGTAGGCCTCCGTGCCTCAGTTTCCCCCATCTGTAGCATAAGGGTAATGATAGTGACATCTTCTGCAAAGCTCTTTCAGATCTCCTGATGAAAAGCCCTCTAAGGTGTAGGTGTTATTGCTCTTAAGAGCAAATATCCACATGCACACATAAGGAGGGTCAGACCAAAGGTCCATCTAGCCCCATGTCCTGTCTTCCAACAGTGGCCAATGCCAGGTGCACCAGAGGGAGTGAACAGAACCAGGAATCATCCAGTGATCCCTCCCCTGTCACCCATTACAGGACAAACAGAGGCCAGGGACACTGTCCCTACCCAGCCTGGCAGAGAGCCATTGATGGATCTATCTTCCAGGAACTCATCTAGTTCTTTTTTAAAATGTGAACCCTGTTATAGTCTTGGCCTTCACTAAATGTGAACCCCGTTATAGTCTTGGCCTTCACAACTTCCTCTGGCAAGGAGTTCCACAGGTTGAAAGTGTGTCGTGTGAAGAAAAACTTCCTTTGGTTTGCTTTCAACCTGCTCCCTTTTCGTTTCATTGGATGACCCCTCGTTTTCGTGTGAGGAGAAGGCGTAAATAACCCTTATTTCCGGTCATGACTGTATTGATCTCGCTTCTACCCTCCCTCCTAAAAGTCCCAGGCTCCCATACCCCTCATCATTTTTGTTGCCCTTTTCTGAACCTTTTCCAGTTCCAATGTATCTCTTTGGAGTCTGGTGCAACCTGATCTAACCAGGATTCCGGAGCCAAGCAAAGGACTGAATGGGGTTGCAGGAGGATGCGGTTTGTGCATTGAAACGGGCTCATTTTATTTTGTTCCCCATGTTGCTGCTGCTTCTAAGTAAACTTTGCCACCTAGTGCTTTGGGTGAGCTGCTGCGGAGTGGATTGCGATCGGTTCCCTGGGTTATGTGGAGTTGCATAAGACACGCCGTTCCGTGCATTGATCTCACACTCGCAGGCAGGGTGTCATCCCAGGAGCACCATGCACTGCAGATAACTAGTTTTGTGGCCAACCAACTGATGACAACACAACTGATGATCCCATCCCTACTGAGACTCAACGGTGCGTCATCTAGCGCCACCTGGTGGTGGAAAGGGACCTTGTAAAGTCGAGGCTGAGACGTTATCTCTGGTTACTTCGGTCACAAGCGCTCCGAGATCTGGAGATACTTGAGGGCTCTTGGCCATTTTCCTTCCTGCGCCTCTGGGCCTCTTTCCAAAACTGCTGACGTTTACAGGGAAGAATTCAGCAGGGTTGATTCTCCTTCCAGCCAAAATTTTAAAAAACCCAGCAAACCCAACACAAGCAGAGCGTGCTGGGGCATGTAAACAAAACGCTTCGTCGACTGAATCAAAATTGACGGAGACAATCTGGTGTATTTAGCAGCAGAGAAACTGTCCCTGACATTAAACAACACATGAAAGGAATCTGGTGCTTGAATTGTGTCTGGGGAGGCAGAGAGAACATGATGGAGGTTCCACAACCTCCCCAGGCAATTTATTCTGGTGTTTCACCCCCCTGACAGGCAGGAAGTTTTTCCTAATGTCCAAGCTAAACCTCCCTTGCTGCAGTTTAAGGCTTCTTGCCCTGTCCTCAGAGGCCCCGGAGAATCATTTCTCTCCCTCCTCCTTGTAACACCCTTTTAGGGACTTGAAAGCTGCTGCCCCATTCATGTGCAACCTGAAAAAAAGCTGCTGGAATGGGCTTTCAAAATCCCCATGTCACAGTTTGGCTCTCCGGGAGCATCGTGTGTCGGAGACAGTACAACGAGACCGTTGCACGGCTGAGCGCGTGCACAGGCAGGTTTGGTAAACCCCATGGCCTCTTCTTCCTGCTTTGCAGGGCGCAGGGAGCACCTCAGAGCAGGGATGCTAAGTAGCGATACCATCGACTACTCGACAAGCCCGTCCGCGTTCTGCCTTTGAAATGTACAAGAGCCCCAGCGGGGGCTCTTGTTCATTTCAAAGGCTGCGGGGGTGACTATGAGTTCCCTACTCGCTCCAGGCTGCATGTGGCGCTTCCTCTTTGAAATGGACAAGACTCTTGTACATTTCAAAGCAGCAGCACTGAACCCATGGTTAGCTGGGGAGTCCCCATCTGATCTCAGGCTCCACCTGGCATTTCAAAGCGGCAGCACAGTAGGGAGCAGCTGACCCCGGGCTCCATGCGGCGCTGCCGCTTTTAAGTACCCACCTCTTCTCCCCATTTTTCTCAGGCTGCATTTACACTGTAGGCTTCTTGTGCAAGAAGCTTTTTGCAGAAGAGCTCTTCCGCAAAAACGCGCAAAAACAGATTGCATCCACACTGCAAAAGCGCGTCGGAAAAGTGATGCGCTTTTGTGAAAGAGAGTGTCCAGGCTGCATGGCCGCTCTCTTGAAAGTGAGCTCTGATGGCGAGGCAGAGAATGGCCACCAGGGCACCTGTGCTTTTCCCTTTTTCCTCTTTTTGCGCAAAACCCCCTCTTCCCCGTCCACACGTGCCTTTTTCTGAAAGAGTTCTTGCACAAGAAGGCATTCTTCCTCGTAGAATGACACATACCTATGCTGGAAAACCCCCTCTGTTCTTTCCATTTTTTTGGCATAAAAACGCGCCCGAGGTGTGGACAGTCCGCGAGGTTTTTTTTTTTTTTAAAAAACAGCCGTTTTTCCGAAAAAAACTCTGTAGTGTAGATATAGCCTGATAGAGGCAGCAAGGGGGGGAGAAGAGGTGGGTACTTAAAAGCGACAGCGCCGCATGGAGCCCGGGGTCAGCTGCTCCCTGTGGCACTGCCGCTTTGAAATGCCGAGGGGAGCAACTAGTCGACTATCCCGTCAACTAGTCTTTACATCCCTACCTCCGAGCAGACAAGAGCTTAACAAGGAGCTGAGAGAAACCTGAGTTTTAACCCCAGTGCTGCCCATGGAACTTTGTGGCTTAGGAGATCAGGCATTTGCCTGGGGAATAGAGGGTGCCGGGTTCGAATCCTACTGTTCCCCCCACCCTGAGAACCACAGATTGCCCACACAGGATAAGGACCTGCCCTGCTGTCGGGGGGGGAGAGACTAGGAAAGTGTTCTGATATTCCTGGAGGAATAGGAAATTGTACTGATATTCCTGGAGGAGGCATGGGACCGTGAGTAAGGAAAGATTTCGTGTGATAAAGCAGCTCACGTCCTGGCCAGAGAAATCAGGAGGCTGCTGGTCCGTAGCGAACTTCGCTGCTCTCCCTTTCGATGACAAGATGATGCAGCGCTCGTTAAAGGCGCACGCCGGAGGATGCTGCTTCACAACCAAGGGAGGCGCCCGGTCCACCTGCTAGTTTCAATGGCAACACCCGAAAGTCTTCTGCAAGGACTCCCCAAAGCCGAGCAGAAAATGAAAATGTCTCAACGTTCTCCTCTCGGGTTACTGGTGTCCGGCTCACTGCTTCAGGACCGGCTGAGACTGCACAGCCAAAACCCCTTTTAAAAACGAGAAGTTGCGCGTTAATTTAACTTCAGTGAAGAGACAGGAACGCTCTCTTCGTTCGCTGCACAGGGCATAGCGATGCTACGAACCTGACGATTTTACTGAGACTCCTCTGTTTTTGCTGCCTGTGCATATTCCCAACGAAAGATAAAGATGTTTATTTGAGAGGATAAAAAAACCTCTCGCGTAATGGCTGTCAAGGATGCAGGAATATCAAACGGACTCGACAGAGTTGAGTAAATTCTACATGATGCTATACATTTTTCAGTTCAGTGGCCAAACCACAAAATCCATCCAAAAATTGGTTCGTTTTGAATGAAAACTGTTTTTTTAACACACAGCAAAACAAATAGAATCCTTTTGGAGGTCAAATGAAATATTTGGCTCACACTGAAACAAACTGTTGCTTTTCAAAACCATCACATTGGTTCTTTTTTATTTACTCTTCACAATGATTTGTACAGCCAAATCTAGCTGATGTGTGGAAATGAAAAATCAAAATGCTCGGTTTAGAAAAAGTTCAGAATGAATCCTTTGGACTTATTTTCCAGGCCACGCTATTTGCTGAATTGGACGGGGATTTGTGACTATTTTGGGTCATCCTGAAAGTGCATGTTTTTGGCAAGCGGACTGTTAGACTGAAAAATGTCACCAAACATGAGCACGCGTCTGTTGTTTCTGCGCTCTCCAGTGAGGTCTGCGTTGCGGTTCTACTGCGTTCGGGAATGTTTTGTGCGACGTAGAGTAGAAATAATAAGGCAGGCGAAAAGGACAGCTCTCGAAACTCTTTAAGCTCCTGTAAGTGCAAATCTGCCAAATGCATTGTCACGTTATATACTCCAAGGGACAGAAGGAAAAAAGAAACAGCCCTACAATCTCAAGCAAACCACGAAGAGTCTCCTGAACAAATTCGCTAGGCTATAATTAATATAAAAAGAGAAGACTTGAAACAAGAATGTCTTCTGAGTAAAGCTTGCAAGCCAAGCATTTCAAGTGCGTGATTACTTCATTAGCCGCGGAGCGTTTACTAGCGCAACGCAAACCAAACGCTTGAAAACTGGAAATTAACTTTCTGATCCAACCAAGCCCAGCCTGGCCGTGCTATATAAGGGGCAGCGTCAC